AAGGACAAGAATTCAGGGCAGAGCGGGGGGCGACAGAATTCTGGGCAGTGCGACGGGGAAGAGAATTCAGCCAATAGGGACAGAAATAGGATTTAGGGTTGGTGAGAGATAATAGGCAGAATAGAAGGGCAGGTGGCGGGGGGGTCGGGATCGTTTTAGTCTTGGCAGTGCCGCGGGGGAAACAAGCATCAGGCCCACAGGGCTGGGAGGTGGAGGGAAGTTTTTGGTGGAACGATATTCATCCGCCTGCGGATCCGGTGTTTAAACGCAGAACGCATGTTTCGCACGAGCATCTAATTACGTTCTTACCTTCTACCGGCTGGACGCTTGCTGCAGGCTGGTTGCGTGCACCGCCCCATCCGTTTCCTTCTACTCTTCTGGGCTCGCCATTTTTTCCTCTCTCCCATTTTGGAAACTTAAACTCTACACCTATCAGGGATCTATCTGGCCTCGCTAACAGATCCTCCACCGTTGTGGTCCCTCTCCCCATGCGCTTCCAGAAGGCCTTCGAGTCGGACTCAAGATGCAAATTCACAACTTGGCCAGCGCTCTCTCCCCCAGGACCCGCACCTGTGGCAAAACCATGCAAGCACATCAACGTGTGAGCACAGTACACACTGTACACGACGTAGAGTACACATTACAGCACTATATCAAGTGATGAACACCCATATTCCCCATGATTACCTGCGTGTCTTGCTGCCCTCATTAGTCTCTCTGTGACATGTGGCGCGGCTTGCATGTAGACTGATAATAGATCGTTGTGCGTAGCCACTTTATTGTCAGGCATAAGCACGCTTAGCCCCACACGCAGGTAGCAAACTTGGGCTCTGAGTTTCCAATGGACAGTATAATGACGCTGGTTGAACGTGCTGCACACACTAGACACTGGATGGTTCGCCATCGAAGCCTGGATGGGAAGGAGGGGAATGAGTGGAAAGGGAATGGGGTGGTAGGTAGGTAGGGAGGCACGAATGTAGGGTGGAGGGGAGAGTGAGGTGCATGTTGTCATGAATGGCGTGCAGTGAGTGACCTCAGGTGAACGCAGATGGAGTGATGGGGCCATGGGCGACGGGAAGGGAAGTGAGGGAGATGAGCCCTGACGGCGACGGGAATGGATGTGAGGGCGGATGGATGGGATGTGAGGGGGCCAGGCTCAAATGAGGGCGAAGGGACGGGAAGGGAGGGCGAAGGGATGGGATGCGAGGGCGGAGGGATGGGATGTGAGGGCGGAGGGATGAGATGGTGCGTAAGGATGGGATGTGATGGAGGTATAGGAGAGGGGCGGAAAGGATAAAAGAGAGGTTGCTTTTTTTCGTGAGTAAGGGACTACGAGGGGTATGGAGGGGGGATTGTATGGGCAATTGTGTGCGGGGACGAATGGTAGGGTGCGCAAAATGGTGGGCGACCTGGTGGGGAGATGGCTAAGGGATTCTTCTTACAAAGCGATATTTTTGAGTCGCGTTCGAGAAAACGGGGGTTGTCCTTAAGGAAGGGGGAACTGAGGTATGAGGGGAATCTTCTTGCCAGACGATAGGTGAAGGGTGGGCCAGATAAGGTGGCTGCGAGAGCTCTGGGAGGGGCAGGCTGGCCTGTTGGGAAGGAAATGTGGAAACGGGGGAGGGGGAGAGGAGGGGGGGGGGGGTTGGGTCATGTGGGGGGTGGTGAGGAAGGGGAGAAACAACAACGTCGGGAAGGGCAGATGGGAAGGGAGGAGAGGTGGCGGATGGGATGTGAGGGCGGCGGGATGGGATGCGAGGGCAGCGGGTGTGGAGATAACTACTACAACGGGAGCTAGACTACGGGCTAGGCATGGGTGCTCGTGTGATCTCTGCGTTCGTTGGTCCTTAGTCCTTTTCCTAGTGCACACACTGCTTGCTAGTTCACGGGACAAGTTGGCAAGAGTTTCACTAGAGAAAGTTGACAACAATGATACAATGAAGTTCGCATGGCAAGACTACATCAGAGCTAGCATTCAGGTCGGTCGACCGCCAGCGCAGCATGGTCGACCGCGTTCCAGCACGACTTGGTCGGCCGCGCTCCAGCAGTGCAAAGTCGACGGCGTGCCAACGTCGCAGGTTGACGGCGTGCCAGCGCTGCTCACGCAGAACAGCAGCGCATCCGCTTCGCAGGTGCTTGCAGATGATTGGCGGGCTGAGCCTCATCACCTGCACAACGCACACACCAAGTCATCCTCGTGCTGACGACTCCACCTGATCCGCCATGTCGACCTCGGGATACCACCACCGAGGTCGGACTCGCCAACTTCGCCTAGGCGACCGTCGCACTCCTCCGCAGAACCTCGTCACCCAGGTAACCTGGTCGACCGGGCAACCACGTCGACCAGCTACTCCCGTACGTGCCCGTCGACCTGCCAAGTCGACGGCCACCTCCAGTCGGCCTTACCAGGTCGACCACACCCTTGGTCGACCAGCTCCAGGTCGACGTCGTCGACCAGCTCCACGTCGACCAGCACTCCTGGTCGACCAGCTCCTCGTCGACCAGCGCAGTTGTCAGCCGGCCTCCCAAGTCGGCTACCCGAAGTCGGCATCACCAAGTTGACGCCCTGTTACTCGACGCCCAATTGCTCGGCATCCTGAGTCGAGGTCGACGTCTCCTTCGTCGACCACCGGGTCAGGTCGACCACCAGCAGGTCGACCAACAGGCCTGGTCGACCAACCACGAGGTCGACCGCCGGCACCGTCAGCCGACCACCCAAGTCGGCTGCCCCAAGTTGACGTCACCACAGGTCGACTTCCCAGGTCGACCTCCCTGAAGTCGGCGCCACCCTGAAGTCGGCGCCAGTGCAGTGGTCCCCGTGCAGGTCAACCTCCTCGTCAACCAGCTCGCCCACTGCTGCAGGTCGGCTGCTCCCCTCACACCCGACCACGAAGTCGGCTCCGCCCAAGCGAGGACGGGGCCAACACACAACTCCCGTTGACAGCGGGAAGGTATAGGTGAGTGTGAGGATGGTAGCACGTACCTGGCTTAGAAACGCGGGCTCATGCACAACGGGCGATGGTTGGTGATATGGGTGGCTGAGATGCCCGTTGGTGAGTGGTGTTGCTGGCCGAAAGGTGGCTGCGTGCTAGAATGAGGAGGCAGGGAGGGAGGGTTGAGAGGAATCGAGGAGGAGAGGAAGGGAGGATGAGAGAATGGGAGAATGAGAGGAAGGGAGGATGAGAGGAAGGGAGGATGAGAGGAAGGGAGGATGAGAGGAAGGGCGGATGAGAGGAAGGTTGGATGAGAGGAAAGGTGGATGAAGGGGAGGGAGGACGAGATGAAGGGAGGATGAGAGGAAGGGCGGATGAGAGGGAGGGTGGATGAGAGGGAGGGCGGAAGAAGGGGAGGGAGGACGAGAGGATGGGAGGACGAGAGGAAGGGCGGATGAGAGGGAGAGAGGATGAGAAGAAGAGAGGATGAGAGAGAAGGGCGGATGAGAGGAAGGGCGGATGAGAGGAAGGGAGGATGAGAGGATGAGAGGAAGGGAGGATGAGCGGAATGGAGGATGAGAGGAAGGTTAGATGAGAGGAAGGGCGGATGAGGGGAAGAGAGGAAGTGGGGGAGGGCGGATGAGGGGGAGGGAGGACGAGAAGAAGGGTGGACGAGGAGAAGGGTGGATGAGAGGGAGGGCGGATGAGAGGGAGAGAGGATGAGAAGGAGAGAGGATGAGAGAGAAGGGCGGATGAGAAGAAGGGCGGATGAGAGGAAGGGAGGATGAGAGGAAAGGAGGATGAGAGGAAGGGGGGATGAGAGGAATGGAGGATGAGAGGAAGGTTGGATGAGAGGAAGGGCGGATGAGGGGAAGGGAGGATGAGATGAAGGGAGGATGAGAGAAAGGGAGAATGAGAGGAAGGGCGAATGAGAGGAAGGGCGGATGAGAGGGAGGGAGGACGAGAGGAAGGGTGGACGAGAGGAAGGGAGTATGAGAGGAAGGGAGGATGAGAGAGAGGAGGATCAGAGGAAGGGCGGATGAGAGGAAGGGAGGACGAGAGGAAGGGCGGATGAGTGGATGGGCGGATGAGGGGGAGGGAGGACGAGAAGAAGGGTGGACGAGAGGAAGGGTGGATGAGAGGGAGGGCGGATGAGGGGGAGGGCGGAATAAGGGGAGGGAGGACGAGAGGAAGGGCGGATGAGAGGGAGAGAGGATGAGAAGGAGAGAGGATGAGAGAGAGAAGGGCGGATTAGAGGAAGGGCGGATGAGAGGAAGGGAGGATGAGAGGAAAGGAGGATGAGAGGAAGGGGGGATGAGAGGAATGGAGGAGGAGAGGAAGGAAGGATGAGAGAGAGGGAGAATGAGAGGAAGGGAGGATGAGAGAGAGGGAGAATGAGAGGAAGGGAGGATGAGAGGAAGGGCGGATAAGAGGAAGGGAGGATGAGAGGAAGGGAGGATGAGAAGAAGGGCGGATGAGAGGAAGGTTGGATGAGAGGAAGGGCGGATGAGGGGAAGGGAGGATGAGATGAAGGGAGGATGAGAGGAAGGGCGGATGAAGGGGAGGGAGGACGAGAAGAAGGGTGGACGAGAGGAAGGGTGGATGAGAGGGAGGGCGGATGAGAGGGAGAGAGGATGAGAAGGAGAGAGGATGAGAGAGAGAAGGGCGGATTAGAGGGAGGGCGGATGAGAGGAAGGGAGGATGAGAGGAAAGGAGGATGAGAGGAAGGGGGGATGAGAGGAATGGAGGAGGAGAGGAAGGGAGGATGAGAGAAAGGGAGAATGAGAGGAAGGGAGGATGAGAGGAAGGGCGGATAAGAGGAAGGGAGGATGAGAGGAAGGGAGGATGAGAAGAAGGGCGGATGAGAGGAAGGTGGGCGGAGGGATCAAATGAGAAGGGAGGGATGAATAGGGAGGGCGGGCGGAGGGGCGGGAGGGCGGAGGGATCAAATGAGGGTGGAGGGATGAATAGGGAGGGCGGAGGGATGGGAAGGAAGGGCAGAGGGATCAAATGAGGGTGGAGGGATGAATAGGGAGGGCGGAGGGATGGGAAGGAAGGGCGGAGGGATCAAATGAGGGTGGAGGGATGTATAGGGAGGGCGGAGGGATGGGAAGGAAGGGCGGAGGGATCAAATGAGGGTGGAGGGATGTATAGGGAGGGCGGAGGGATGGGAAGGGAGGTCGAAGGGATCAAATCAGCCTGGAGGGATGAATAGGGAGGGCGGAGGGATAGGAAGGGAGGGAGGATGGATGTGGAATGGGAGCAAAGGAAGTAAGGGAAATGTTTGCTCTGGGAAGGGACACAAGCCAGGGTGGATGCAAGGGCGACGGGAAGGGCAGCGAGGGCGATGAGCCATGAAGGCGACGGGATTGGAGGTGAGGGCGGAGGGATGGGATGTGAGGGCGGATTGATGGGAAGGGAGGGAGGAGGAATCAAATGAGGGCGGAGGGATGGGAAGGGAGGGCGGAGGGAGGGGATGTGAGGGCGGGAAGTGCGGTAGGAAAGGATGCGGGGTTCTCAGCGGAGACAAGGGGGGGTGAGCTCCTCTAACGGGGAACGAGTGCGGGCGTGGGGTCACATGTTTGGGTGCGCGCTTAGGGACGGGAAATACGCGGGGCGTTGGGAAGTGAAATCAATGCGACGGGTAGGGAGATTTGAGCGGGGGAAAAGGTTATGGGACCCACGATAGCGGTGCAGTGGTAATTGTGTACGGCGGGATGGGAAATGAGGCAGGTTCGGGATGGTATAAAAGGGCGACTGTAAGGGGTGGAAATCGTGTCATGCGCGGCGCAAGAAATGGTGGCACCGACGCGACGAATAGGGGAGGTTCTTACCAGGCGAAGCGCGAAAGGTGGGGCTGAGTTGACGATGCGGAATGGAAGCGAGGGTGGAGCGGTGGGCGATGGGAGAGGACGAGGGGGAGGCGATAAGGGGAAATGTGGACGTGGAAAACGGGGTGGTCCAGAGATGGTGCGCCGACGTATTCAAAAGGTCGCTTGTGAGAGAAGGGCGTGCGTGTATGGCGTGTGAGAAGGGCATGCGAGAAGTGCGCCCGAGCGAAAAGTGCGCCTGTGCGGCGAGATGGGATTGCGAGAAAAGCGCCTGTTTGCGAATCGCGCCCGTGCGGGAAGGGCGAGTGCGCGTTCAGGAATGCCTGTGCGGGAAGGGCGAGTGCGCGTTCAGGAATGCCTGTGCGGGAAGGGCGAGTGCGCGTTCAGGAATGCCTGTGCGGGAAGGGCCCCTCCATGTGAATCTCGCCTGTACGGGAAGGGCCCCTCCATGCGAATCTCGCCTGTGCGGGAAGGGCGACTCCATGCGAATCTCGCCTGTGCGGGAAGGGCCCCTGTTCGTTTCGGGTAACCCTGCGCAAAATGCGGCTGGGCGGGATGTGTCCCGAATGGCGGCTGTGCGGGATGGGTGGCGTTCGGTTGCGGCTGTGCGAGAATGGCGAATGCAGGCGAATGGCTGCCGTGCGCGAAGGGCGACTGCACGCCACAGCGTGGCTGTGCTCCCCGCACGGTCTCGTGCGAAGGGCGGCTGTGCGGGAAGTGCGGTCTCGTGCGAAGGGAGCCTGTGCGAGAAAGGCGACTACTCGCGAACCGCGCTTGCGTGCGGGAAGGACGTCTGCTCGCGAAAGGCGCCTGTGCGGGAAGGGCGCGTGTGCCCGAATGACGTCTGGCGGTAATGCCCGTTGTGAAGCACGTGCGTTCACCTATCGTGCTATGTTAGTTCAGTCACTAGTAGTGCCTAGGCAAACTGTGCACAGTTTGCTTCTTGTGTTCCTTTCTGGTTAGTCGAATTGTCCAGGCGTGAGGAAGTGTGTTTGTGCCGCCAAGTCCCTGCATTTCCGTGGCACGCGATTCTACGATTGTCGCATGTTGGTTTCGCGAACACTTGGTCTCGCAACCCTCCCAAACCTCCAAGTCAATGGTTTCCGAACCTGCAAAGGTTGCGTTGACTTGCGAAGAGTAATTCAGGTCTTGGGCTTTAAGGTTAATAATTTCAATACCGCGCACATCGAGATTCGAACTCCCGACCTTCGCGAAGATTGACCATTTCGACACCACTGTGCCAAACAGGCTGACCGTAACTTGAGTGAAAATTTACCAATAAATCTCCTTTAAGAAAACGTCCCTTACTAGGGTTTCGTGAAATCTCTCTTTGCTCTATTTCTCTTCCAGCTGATTACTCCAGATCCTCCCGTACCTTACACCACTCACGCCACTCACAGCACTCACACTACAGCTACCTAGGTAAGTCTTATTGTCTCTATTCTTAAGCTCTTTTAGTTGAGAGGGGATTCATTGTCTAGGTTTAGATGTCGATTCTTTGTCTAGATTTACCTCGTTCTCTTTTTTCCGTTCCTTAGTTCTCTGTGTTTTTGCGTACGTGCTTCGTTCTCCTTTGTTCTTCACTTCAATTAACGAATGGACTTAAATGCCAATACCGTTTTCTTTGCTCGCCGTTTGAAGTACCTATTGTAAAATCTGAAATAAGTAGAATTGTTTTCTGTATTTTTTATTGTGATAGCAGGAGCATCATCGGCGCCCCGGTGTAATGTATTTGTGTCTTGTGGAATGATCAGACACGCGGAGTCGCTCCTGGTGAGTCCTTCGTCGACCCCCGTGCCTACCTTCTTATTTCCTTCTTGCATTGTTTTGTTTCATCTTTGCTTCCTCCTTCCATTCTGTATTTGCTTATTCGTTTTACCCTCGTGAACAACGTTATTGGTTTCTGTTTTAGATACTTAAATTGATGAATATTTCAAGGAATTCTGAGATGTTATAAACCACGCGATCAACTACCATTAGGGTACAATATGTTTGCGACGAAACTGAAAGTACTTTAGGGTTTGTTTTCTCTCTCTCGTTCTCTTTCTCTCGTTCTCTCTCTCTCTCGTTCTCTTTCTCTCGTTCGTTCTCTCTCTCTCTCTCTCTCTCTCTCTCTCTCTCTCTCTCTCTCTCTCTCTCTCTCGTTCTCTCTTTCTCGTTCTCTCTCTCTCTCTCGTTCTCTCTCTCTCTCTCTCGTTCGTTCTCTCTCTCTCTCTCTCTCGTGTTCTCTCTCTCTCGTTCTCTTTCTCTCGTTATCTCTCTCTCGTTCTCTCTCTCTCTCTCTCGTTCGTACTCTCTCGTTCGTCCTCTCTCTCTCTCTCTCTCTCTCTCTCTCTCTCTCTCTCTCTCTCTCTCTCTCTCTCTCTCTCTCTCTCTCTCTCGTCCTCTCTCTCTCGTCCTCTCTCGCTCTCGCTCTCACTCTCGCTCTCCGTTGTTCTCGCTCTCGCTCACGCTTTCCGTTGTTCTCGCTCTCCGTATTCGTTATATTCTCTTCTTTCGTTTACTGTCTCGTTATTTTTTCCCTCTGTTCCGTTCCTTACTTTCATTTTATGCCTCGGTACATTCTTCTCCTTGCTCTAACCATTCAATGCTCATGGAGTTTTTCTTAGCCCTTGTATTGTTTCATTAGTTTCTTTGTTATTCCTGTTTCTCTTCATTTCATCACACCTCATACCTTTTTCTGTTTTGTTTGTTGTACCGGCTATTTCTTTCCGTTCCTCCTTTCCACTTCCTAAATCCGTTTCTCAGGAGCCTTGCTAGTCAGGAAGGCGATTTCAATCTGGAAAATGTGTATTGGTCACTAGGATTTATCGTATTGTCCTTTTAACGTTGATTTGCTTGTTATTTAGTATCACGTGTTTTTTGGCTGGGTTTGCCAGAGCTCGTGCTTTTTATTGTGTGAATGTGTTTGTTTGTGTGAGTGCATTCATCTCATCTATCATTGCAATATCAATGCATGTCTGTCAATTTTAAAAAGGGGGTTCATTTCTATCATTTCTCATTGGTTCATTGGCGCACTCAGTGACTCGTGTGTTTGCCACTTCGAACTGGATTTGATAGTGGGAACCTCTTTTTTGGAGTTAACAGATTGTATTTTTTCATGTGCTAGTTGATTATTCAAAGACTTTGCTATTGACTTCCCCCCCATGCTAGGCAGGGGATGCGGTAGCCTAGTTTTTGGGTCGTTAACTATCACGCATTTGTATGATATACCATATATTGCATTTCAGCATTTCGCTTCATGCAAAAGCATTTTCATCCATGTTGTTGACTCTAAGTACTATGCGGAAGCGTTTAAAACTGAACCACGAACTCAAACTTGGCAACACTTAACTTCACTTTATACCCTCCGAGTGTGACAGCATGTCACCTCATAGCCAAGGGCGTAAGAAAAATAAAGTGAGTAGTTATGCCTTGCTTGAGTTGTGGAGTGAGTAATCTGGTCGAGCAGCGTTTCGGCAGCACCACGTTACGTTTCTACTATGGTCAATACGTAGTAGTAGAATTCCAGGCTTTGAAAAGCGTAATTGCATTGATTTAAAAATGAACAAGTACAAGCACACATTTATATAAAGTCCTAAACACACAAAGGAAAACATAAAACCGTTGCTTAACTGGAATCCAGGGCTTCGCCTTGCTGTATTAGAAAACAGTTGTGAAACTGCTGGAGAATTTGGCTCAATCTGCCTCATTAGAATTAACTGTAATCCATTTGTGCTGAAGCCAAACTCCCTCTGCTGACTCCCGTCACGAATATTCATGAGTTCTCGTGTGGAATCATGGACACTCGTGTGGGATTCCCGTTTCCCAGTTGTAAAACGGCTTTTACCGTTATTAAAACGGAATTCACCGTTTTGTACATGTTGAAAAATCATCTCGCTAAGCAGCGTGACTTTCGTGCGAAGTCGGCTGTTTCCAAGTCAGCGCGGGATACGGTTGGTCAACCGTAATCCCGAGGCACCCCCGGTCAAGCGAGAAAAGCCGATCGCTGACGCGATCGTGCTTTGTCTCACGCGGGGCAGGGCAATAATTGCCCTGTCCAGTTGCGATCGTGCAACTGTGCACGGTCGCAACAGTTGCGACATACGCGTGGGACCTGTGGGGCCACACGCGCATGTCATGACTTGTCATGTGCCCACAACAAAAACACATGAAACAGAATGCAGAAACAAATGCGCACAGAACACACACAAAATGCGGGACTTCATGCAGGCGGCTGGTTGACGTGCAAAATTAAGATTTGCACCCAACACATGTATCAGTATTATGCATCTATATATCTTGCCGCATTACATTCATTGAAGCGTGCGTGGTGTTTACTTCATTACTAATATTCGTAACATTTATTACATGCAATTATCACAACAACATCAAACAGTAAAAAATATAATGCAAACAGTATAGCACATAAGAAAAAAACTACTACGGTAAAAAAACGAGTTTAATATATGCACAATGGGAAGGGTGGTACTGTACCTTACGAATTTTATTTTCATGTTTAATAAAAAAACATGAAAATAAAATTTGTCAAAATCGATCGTAAAGGGTTGCTTCGCAACCCAAAAGCAAAGCATTTATAACCTTCCAAAACAATACAAAAAAACTTAGTAATCAAGTTGGACCCAACTAGAAGGGGGGGTGTCAGATTTATATGACTTAGCCTATGTAGGCTATAGTGGGGTAGCACATATGGGGTACAACACATTTCTAGGGTTTGTACTTGTACCCAATCCTTTCACTAGTCAATCATTCCTCGTGATTCTCACATGGTATAGAGCAGGTTCCCTAGTGGGAACGTTTCCTAGGGCCCACCACTGAAAATTGAAAAAAAAAAAAAAAAAAAAATCCTGCCCGGAGCGCGCTTCGCTCCTGCCCGAGTCGCGCCGCGTGTTCCTACCCTCCCGTCGCGTCCCCTGCCCTTAGCGGCCCGTCGCGCCCTCTTACGGCCCCTAGCGGCCCCTCCCACGGCCCTTCGTGGCCCCTTCGCAGCTCCCTCGCGGCCCCTCCGCCGCCCTTCGCGGCCCCTCTCACGGCCCTTCGCGGCCCCTTGCGGCCCCTCGCGGCCCCTTCGCGGCCCCTCGCGGCCCCTTCACGGCCTCGTCGCCGCCCTTCGCGGCCCCTGCGCGGCCCCTTCTCGGCCCCGTCGTGGCCCTTCACGGCCCCTTCTCGGCCTCGTCGTCGCCCTTCGCGGCCCCTCACGGCCCCTTC